AGCTCTGCAGGTTGCCTCAGATGTGGGGCAGGAGCTTGAATGGCAGCTCCCCAAAGAGCAGCGAGTTACAGCAGAGCAGAAATACCCAAACAGGAGGGGATAAACAGTCAAATAAAACATAACATAAATATATTGATTGTTCTGTAGCACCAGGATGGTCGTGACCCTTCCCTTAACCTCTGCTCTGTGCTGCCCTTTGAGATTGTAGCGCCTGACGAGTCTTGCTGGGAGCCCCTCGGAGCTGCAGCTGTTTCTGCCTCCCCTTCCTTGGCTCCTGCTCCTTTCCACAAAGGGCAGGCTCCTGCACACCCCTCTGCCCGAGGACTGGGACAAGCACAAAGCAAGGGGCACTTTGCATCTCTTCCCTTTGAGTGGTCACACAGCGCTTGGTTAGAGAMAAAGGGATCATRAAATCRTGGGATGGTTTGGGTCAGATGGAAACCTAAAGATCATCCCRTTCCATCCCCCCTGCCATGGGCAGGGACAYSTTCCTCTATCCCAGGGTGCTCCAAACCCTGTCCAGCCTAGCCTGGAACACTTCCAGGGATCCAGGGGYCACCACAGCTTCTCTGGGCACCCYGTGCCAGGGCCTCASCACCCTCACAGAAGAATTTCTTCCAAATTTAATCTTMTTTAAACMTACTCGCTGTCAGTTTGAAGCCATTCCCCCTAATCCTGTCACTAYCTGCCCCTGTAAAAGGTTTCTCCCCATCCTTTTTGCAAGGCCACAATGAGCTCASCCCAAAGCTTCTCCTCTCCAGGCTGAACAATCCCARYTCTCYCASCCTTTCCTCTCAGCAGAGCTGCTCCATCCCTCTGACCATCTTGGCTCTACAATACCCTACACATTCTACCACATCCAGAGGGATGTGCCATCATCCCAAAAACCCACTGCACAGACAGTGACTGAAGAAGACACCCCCACCCACAGATTCTTTACCCCAAATAAAGAGATGCAGGGGGATGAAGACCAGCACCTACATCCCCAAGCACAGAGTCTTCAGCCACAAGATTCATTTTGTGTGAGCTCTACACACAGGACATACATCCCATCCTTAAACAAGTCCCAGAAGTGTCCATGCCTTCCCTCTGGCTCAGGAAACATTTCAGAACCCAGGAACAGCACTGGAATATCTCTCCTAGGTGGCTCATTTCTCATCCTGTGGGGCAGCTGTTTTATTTGTGGCCTTTGAAGACAAACAGAGCCAAACCTTGGCAGACGCAGAGCAGAGCCAGACCCGATGGCCTCTGCTGCCACTTGATTGTTTACACTTCTGCCTTGTACAAGCAATATTTCACTGGATTCATCCCAAAATATGAGAAAGCTGATTGCAAGACAACCACAGGCAGAGAAGACCTTTTCCCAGTCAGGTCCAGGAAGAACAAAAATCTACCCTCTCCTCGGGCTACCAAACTCTGTGGATTAACCCTTTGCACACTGCAGGTCCAGCTGGGTTTCCTTCAGGAACAGCRTGGAATTGGCAGCAAGGAACAATCAGTCTTCTTAAAACCGAAGTATTGATTATGCTAAGAGCAAGAACACAGAAAGGAGACAAAGCAATTTTARGACAGAAGTCTTTGTGCCCTTATCATTGTGTAACAATAGCACRGGTCAGCCTGGCTCCTTCAGAAGCTCGGCTTCGATCTGAGCAGTCCCCTAATAGCTTCCTCYTCGGGAAGGAGAGGATCCCTTTTTAGCCACACACAGTTCCTCTGCTCAGATCAGCTCCAACACTGCCTCTGCATCTTCAGATGCCTTCTCTGTTCCTGCTTGTTTTCTCRACAGGCCTGATTTGACATCTCCACAGAGCAACTGTCCCCTCTGACTGAGTTCATACACCTTGTCCACAGCACTGAGCAGCTGCATTTTTATGGTGCTCTGTATTCTGTAAACACTGGTGGAAGAGACACTTGTTAGAGACAAATGTTAATTCACTGTCAAGTGACTCTAGATTTAAAGCACCACGTTACCATTGAATTAAATTAATTCAGAGTTGAATTAAAGTCAAGATTTACCTGTAAATTTATGTATGGACAATTGACTTTAAAAGAAGAAAAAGATCTTTTCACAGAGGCTGGTATTTAAAATTATTTTTATTATTATTACCCAAATAATACACATTTAGAATCATAAAAATAGAGAAAAAACAAARCTCATCAAATATTTTCGAATACAAAAGGTACATACACTTAAACTTATGTCTATTTCTGGCATTTCATTTATTTTCTGTAAGTGATACATAAAAAACCGAATATGCATGTTGACTGCGGCATTCAGTGCATACAGATGACTTCCCTTCCAAGGAACATCTTGGATGTAGTTACATTTGGCTCTCTGGGAGGACTTTTTTTTTATATCTCCTTTCCCAAGCAGCTGTTCACATTGCTCTTCCAAGGCCTATTCCTGCCAGTGCTCAGAAATGCACTGGAACTTCTCACCTGCACGTGGCACAGCCTAATCCCCATMGGATATTCAAACAAATAAAGGAGCAGAGGAGGCAAGGCAGAAACCCCTCAAGAGGCAGAACAGCAGCCCTGCTGGGATGATGCCACGGGAGGACAGGAAGGTTTCACACACAGCATCTCCTATGCAGCAGCTGATGTGTATTTACCACAAGACTGATCCTGGACTGTGGAAAACAGGACAGGAAGAACTTCAACCAAACAGCACCCAAAAAAAAAAAAAAAAAAAAAAAAAAAAAAGACAAGTTTTCTCTTAAACACTAAAGTCTATGCTACATCTTCTATGCTCTGAAAACTGTAAACTCCTTTGACTGGAATTGCTTTAGCCAGGAGTGCGGTAACGTATCTTAGCAACAGCGGCAAGGGGGAAGACTTACTGTACTGTAAAAGAATTAAAACAAAATGCACATAGCTGCTGACTGTTCTAAATACATCCCTACCACTCTGAGGGGGTGTTCAATTATACTCCTGATTACTTTTCACATTCCCTCTTCCAAAGGGGCGGGGGCATTTCTCCAGTTTTCAGCTCACCCATGAAGAGCCCCAAGGCTTTTAATTCCCCTTCAGCTTCAGCTGCGGCTAGACTACAATGTACCCTGTCACTATCCCAGCTACATTAGGAAAAGCCATTACTGCAGCACCCCGGAGATAACCTCTCTGTGTGAGCCTGGCTGCCACTCCCTCAGGTGTTGAGCTGCCATCAGCCCACAGCAGCATTCCCCCTCTGCCTGGAGCAGGTGAGACCAGACAGAGCACGGCTGCAATATTTCACATTCCTRCTTGTCAGGAAATACAGAGCTTTGTGCAGCAGGGGAACTTTGCACATGGTTTCACCTCTTGCCAAGGTGTGTGGTTTCCCACAAGTGCAACAACCCCCATGAGAGGAGTCATTTACACCCTCCCCTCCAGTCCCCAGCCCCAGGCCAAGGTCCTGGCAGGCTTCCCACATCCCCTACAGCAGCGAGCTCCACCGGCCAGGACAGGGTCTGCATCCCCCTCCTGCCACGGATACGGGAGGAAAAGCACCCAGCTGCACCAGGAGCACTGAACTGATCCAAGGGAGRCCCTACAAAGTGAGCGCAAGGGCTCCAGATTTGAAGTGACAGAGTAATGAAAATTACTCCGTAACCAGTGAAAAAATGTGCAAACACCTTTTTTGCTTCATTAATGAAGGTGGGCTCGTGCTTTCTTTTTAAGGATTATCGTCTCCGACGGCTGCGATTAACAGCCTCACCTGAGTGCCCTTCCTCCATACAGGCCCCTCAGAATTCCCAGGAATGAGCACTACGACTGTCTGCCTCAGAGTGAAACTTCATTTAATACCTGGGAAACTTCACTTAATACCTTTGAAACTTCATTTAATACCTGGGAAACTTCACTTAATACCTTATACCTTTGAAACTTTATTTAATACTTGGGAAACACCTGGAAATCTTGCGGACGATTACTCCAGCTCGAGGAAGGGAGGGAGGAAGCTCTTTCAGTTTAATCTTGCAGGGGGAGGGATCTCAGTCCAGGCAGCTCGGCACAGATTTACGCAAAGGGAGAGACCAGGTGGTTGTCTAGGACAGCGAATTGATCAGGGGGACACCRAGAGTACACATGACTTCAGCCGGATATTTTTCAACTTTATCTACTGCCGAGGATTGGGAGAAGAGTCAGAAACAACCACAGAGTGACTCTGCTCAGCCTTKCCCAGTGCTACATTTCAAAGCTTTTGGACTATCTGCTCCATCCGACGATCCATCAGGCACTGTCATCACTCCAGAGATGTCGAGACTAATTCCATCCTAAGTGTTCCCATCTTTCAAAAGGCCGCACTTGACTGCCGTCATTAATTCCGTGCATGATGAAGACATTTAAAGCTTCGCATGCTCTCTCGAGCAGCCGCCTTTGCGTGCCTCGCTCCTGCCGGCGCAGCAGCTGAATTCCTTCCACTCGCGCACACACACACGCCCGCTCCTCACAGCAGCCGCCACCGTGCGAACCGGCACTCGGGACACGCACCCGCATCCCCGAGTGACCCCGCATTCCCCCTCCACCTCCTCCTGCCCGACCGCAGCCTCTGCTCCCGCGGGGTCGGGATGGGAGCGGCTCCCCACGGAGGCTGCCGGAGCCCCGGTCAGCCCCGCCACCACACCGGGGAGGGGACCGGAGCCCCGGTCAGCCCCGCCACCACACCGGGAAGGGCACCGGAGCCCCGGTCAGCCCCGCCACCACACCGGGGAGGGGACCGGAGCCCCGGTCAGCCCCGCCACCACACCGGGRARGGGACCGGAGCCCCGGTCAGCCCCGCCACCACACCGGGRAGGGSACCGGAGCCCCGGTCAGCCCCGCCACCACACCGGGGAGGGGACCGGAGCCCCGGTCAGCCCCGCCACCACACCGGGGAGGGGACCGGAGCTGCGGGAGGGGACCGGAGCCGCCGCTCCCTGCTCCGCCGCTCTCCCTTTAAGGCTTTCGGAAACTTTTTTCCCCACCGTGCCGTCACGCTCCGCTAGCGGAGCTACGGGCAGGGCTGAGCAGAGCCGGGAAGTTTCTCCCGTGGGCGCTGGGTCGGAGCAATTGTCCCGCACGGCCCCCCGAGCTCCGAGMGCTCCGCTGCCCGGGGGCCGTGCGGGAGAAACGCGAGGAGGAGCTCGCTTCGGGGGAGGGGGAGATGGAGCCGGGGCGTGGGTAAGCCGCTCCCTTCTTCTTCCTCCTCCTCCTCCTCCTCCCCCCTCGGCTGCTCCCGTCTGGCAGCCAGGCGGCCGCTGCCTCCGGCCGGAGCCGCCGCTCGGGAAGGGACTCCCGGCCCCGCGCTGCCGCCGGGATGGGGACGGCGCTGGCGGCTCCCGGATTGCTGCTGCTGCTGCTGCTCCTGGCCGGCACGGCGGGGCTCTGCCGGGCGCTCTTCTCCCTCCCGCTCCGCGTGTCCCACCCCGCCGCCCCCGCCGGCTCTCCGCCCGCCCCGGTGGTGCTGCGGCCGGGCAGCGGGCAGCAGGATCCCCCCGGAGCTGCGGACGGCTTGGCCTTGGCCTCGGATCCCGGCGGCACCCTCAACTTTTTAGCCATGGTGGAGAACCTTCAGGGCGACTCCGGCCGCGGCTACTACCTGGAGATGCTGATCGGGACCCCGCCGCAGGCGGTAGGAGCGGGCCGGGGGCTGCGGGCCGGGGGCTGCGAGGGCACGGGAGGAGGGGGCCGAACTTGTCCTGGGTGGGGGGGACTCCGCCGCCCCCCGGCTCCAGCGCAACTTTGTCCCGGTGCTCGGCGCTGGCGCCTCCTCCTTCCCCTTTCGCCGGGAGTCGCTGCCCGTGCCCGGCGCGGGGGAGCGGCGGCGGCAGCAGCGACTTTCCGCGGGCCGGCAGCGAGGGAAGAAAGGAGGGGAGCATCCCCCGGCTGCCCTGTCCGGGCACTGCTGGGGGAATCCTGCGGATCTGGTCCCCAGGGKTTTTTTTGAGGCTGTGTCGCGGCGTTTGGAGCCGAAGCGAGTTGCKCTGCCAGGCGAACTGACCGTGTTCTAGAGACAGAGGGTGCTTTTTTTATTTTCCTTTGCTTTTTTAAGCTGCTCTGCATCGTGATTGGGTGCTTTGGTAGATCTTCCCGGCGCTCCCGGGAGAATCGCTCGGCATCTTCCTGCTAAACTAAGTGATGGCTGGGCACAACCAGCCCCTTCTGTCCGGAATCCATGTGTTGCTCATTAACAGGGCAAAGTACGTGTGTGTTCTGAATATTGTTTTCAGACAGACCGTGTTGCCTTGAATCTTCCCCTTCAGCCTCCACCAGTGCGGCTGAAGTTTGTTTCGGGTTTGTTGGGTTTTTTTGGGTTTTTTTGGTTTTTTGCCGTGTAGTTGCTCTTTCATGTGTGTCATGAGATCCCAGGAGGAGCGGTGCTGGCTGCTGGTGGGGATGACTGGTCAGCTGAGTGGGGATTAATTTCCTGAGAGCCCTCGGGGCTTTTCTTCAGAACTTTGTGTTTGCTTCAGGAGTTTAGGTCCTTATGTTCCCAGTGTAGACAGAAAAAAAAAAAAATCTTTATTTTTCTGCTTAACTCTCCTACGTAATAAAAAACCAATGAGTGCCAAAATGCGCAGCCAATGGGGAGTGTTCAGCCGKCATTGCATTTCTGGACGGCTATGAGCTCATTCTTTTTTTGCACCTCGAATGTAAGAGGATTGGCCACATAATGTCTAATCAAAAGGTATCCCACTAATATCAATACATGCATTGAGAAAGGCTGGAATTGTTTTATGATCAATAAATTGATTTTTTTTTWAAAAAAAMCAACTAGTTCTGACATATCAAAGTGTGGCCCAATGGCCACAGAGACTGTGAAATAATTTCTCCTTTGTTCATTGATGCATATTTGACTAGTTCTGTTAGTGTGGCACGGTGTGTGCTTCATAACTCCAGGGAACATTCAAACATTCAATATTGGCTTCTGCCAGAATAGAGGTACCAAATTTGATTGGACTAATCACCCAATTCAGCATGTCTTGAATGAGCAAAAAATAATGTCAGGTAGAAAAAGTGACTGTCAAGCATTATTCTCTCCTTACACGTCTAGGGGGATTCGAAAATTGGAAGAAATGGAGAAGGAAAAATGTGACAGGCTTTTAATAACATGACTGGAGGTCTGAGAGGGAGAAATGTGCTGCCCTCAGTACACCCRGAGGCTTCACTTATGCTTAACAGCTTGCATTACTTCTATTACAGGTGATGTAAGGTTTCAGCTAAAGTTGCCTCTGATTTTTATTTTTCCCACATGAAAAAAACACACTTTGAACCTGGTTGCAAAGCTTTACTATTTTGAACTAGTTCTGACTTCTTGCAAAGTTAATTATTCTAAAGACCACTACTGGTTTAGCACATGTGAGATTTTATTCACAASCAGACCCACTGAGGTTGTAAGTGAGGTTATAAATGCTTCTGTTTCCCAAATCAGATCTTGGTGTGTAATGACTCAGTTGAGCACAGTTAGAATTTATTCTCTACTTTTGATGAGGGTGAATTTGTTATCTCCTTCCCTGCCTGAAACCAGAAGACTTAAAGATCACAAATGCAYTTGCTGGTTTTTCTGCTTTGCAAGGAATAGTATAAAGCTACAAAGCTGCTACTGTTGGTGCTTGAATGCTTCACATGCTGCTACTAAAAGCGAGTGTCTGGGTAGTGCCAAGCGTTGGATTGTGTTAAGCTCCTTGGGCAGGCAGCTGCTGGAGTTGGGAGTGGGCTGTGCATGATGGTGTAGGAAAGGAAAAATCTTCTCCCGATTTAAATGCTCCTCCCAGCCTGGCTTTGTTTCACGTCAGAAGCGACGCTTGGGCACCTTCCTTTGCTCTTGCACCCCTCCAGCTTGGGACTTCCCAGCTGCCTGCCTGAGCCAGGCCTGTCCCAGGAGTGGCGAGCCCRGGGAGCAGGAACGCTGCCCTGACACTTTGCCAAGGAGGAAGGAGGATGCTGGCAGCGCAGAGCAGCGCGGCTGTCGGAGCAGGAATGGATGGCACRGCTGCTGCTCGGGGTGGGAGCACGGAGAGGATGGGGAGATGCACACAGGGCAGTGGTGGGCCACCATCAAACAGCACAGAAGAGGCACCAGGTTTGATGTCGTGGTTACAATAGCGCTGGTGCCCRGTAACTTTGGGAGCGCGTGCGTCAAGTGTCGGAAGCTGCTGYGCCAGAATGGGGAACGAACGTTTGCGAAAGGCTCCAGCACCACAGGGCTCGCTTTACTGCTCAACTGCATTTTTAGAAATTTTCCTGTTTTAATTTTGGTTCTTGGAAGGAAGCTCCTATGACAGAATTTCGTTTTTCAGGTCATTTGAGGCATACTTTTTTGGCTTTCGTTCCAATTCKGATTTGTCATATAGCAGATAAACACAGCACAGAGCTGCGATTCACAATGGCAGTTCTGAAACACTTGTTCTGACGGTACAAAAATAGAGCAGCTGTGTGAAGTCAAAAATTATTTTATTTCCAAGAAGGAAACTTCAGTGCAGTCAATCCAGTTTTGCAAAGTGTTTGCAGCCAAAGTGTTTCTGATCATTTCCAGTTTTAYGATACAGTATCCTTCCTAATCCTATCAGATCTCCAGACCAGCTACCAGGTCAGTGCTAAATGTTGTTACTGCCGCTAATTCTTATTCATTCGCATGCAGACCTACTTAAGAATTATGTGAAAGGTGAAAACAGCCTATTGCATTGAWGGGTGCGATGTATTTGTCCCTTATTTCATGGGTGTATTGTTATGTGTCCTATTTCTGATGGATTATGTGCATTATACCTGTCTGTATGGGTGCACTTCTTCCAATTCCAGATTTAAATAAGAGGCAGCAAGAGCCCAACATGAATTGTGTGCAGTGTTCTCAGTTATTTCCTTAAATAATCCAATGGAATTCCTTTGCTCTATCTTTTATTATTTTGCCTACCCTGAGATTATAAGCGCTGTGAGAAATTGAATCGAAGATCATTTAGGGTTTTTTTKGCTATCCTCACTGCAGTTCTCTTCATATTAATTTTGTTTCTTCTGCAAGTTTTTGACCAAAGGAATAGTCAAACCCTTTAAAAAACTCATGCTTTTCACAGCTTTCTTGAAGTCCATCTGGACTGCATTAAATGTTTTCAGGGACAGCACCGTTCCCTCATCTTGCCTCTTGCTTGAGGTGGTGGCAGTCCTGTTGATCCCCCTGCATTTCCAAACTCTGTTTTTACTGAGAACAGGCAAATGTTATTCCTGMAACTTCTCTGTGAAAGAGAGGCCGGGTGTGTGTCCCCTGAGAGCTCCGATCTGATTAACGACAGCAGGGTCTGACTTGTGCTCTGAATGCCACAGCTCCCTCCTTTCAGGGTCAGTTTTTGATTCTGTGCATGAAGAGGGGTTTATCTGCTGTTTGTCCTGATGGCAGTTTGTTCTGTGCAYGGGGTGAGCAAAAACTCATTCCATAAACTCACTCTCAAGTGTTGAGGTCAGCGTGGATCTCGGGTTTAACGGCCTCTGCTGCAAAACACAGACTTCAGTTCCCACATAATTGCTGGAAGGTTATCTTCCCTTCCACTTCTCCCAGCTATTAGAGAAAGGAATTAYAAAGAAGGATATGTATTAAATACCTCTACTGTGTCATGGACTCAGAATTTATGGTTTCGTGTTTTGAAGGTGATGAACACACACATTAACAAGTTCTGAACTTGCAGCCATTATTCCTTAATTGCTCTCATTCCCCGAGTGTTGGAAGGAATGAAGATGTGAGGAAAGATTCAGTTGCTCTTGTAACCTGATTTCTGGTGCTGTGCTGTTCCCCAACAAGCTAAGCTCTGCTTTCTTAATTTGGCTGAAAAGGGGCTCACTGTCTTTCTAGATTCAAGAAGTTTTACAAGTGTGATCTTCTTCCAAATATCAGAAGGCAGGTTCCATAACAAGTCTTTCTCT